TCTAATTTTAATTTGAAGTCTATTTTATTTGATATTAGTATTGCAACTCCCGCCTGTTTATGGGGCCATTTGCTTGGTAGATTTTGTTCCAGCCTTTCACTTTCAAAATGTTTGTTTTTATGGGCAAGGTGTGACTTCTGAAGGCAGCAGATAGAAGAATCTTGCTTTTTAATCCAACTAGACAGTCTGTGTTGCCTAATTGGAGAGTTAAGTCTGTTAATGTTGAGAGATAGGATTGAGAGGTATTTGGGAGTTCCTGCCATGTTATCCACCTTCTTGGAGGCTGAGACAACTGGGTTCTTTCTGTGGTTCTTGGATTCTCAGTCAGGGTGCAAATTCTTGGCCTTTATTGTGGTCTTGTTGGTTTTCTATGTGTAGGACATCTTTAAGTATCTTTTGTAGGATTGGTATGGTTGAGATATATTGTTTCAGTTTTTCTTTACTGTGTAAGTTTTTTATTTGACCTTCAGTTATGAAGGAGAGTTTAGCTGGGTACAGTATTCTTGGTTGATAGTTGCTTGTCTTTAGGGCATGGAATACATCATTCCAGGTTCTTCTTGCTTTGTCTCTGCTGAGAAATCTGAGGTGATTCTAATTGGTTTCCCTCTATAGGTGACTGATCTTTTCTCCTTGACAGCTGTAAGGAACTTTTCCTTGGTCTGAATTGATTCTGAGTGGATTATGTGACGGGATGTCCTCTTCTGGTCTGGTCTATTTGGGGTTCTAAAAGCTTCTTGTATCTTAATAAGCCTATCTTTTGGCATGTTTGGGAAGTTCTCTGCTAGGATCCTGTTAAACAAATTTCCTAGACCATTAACTTCTGTCTCTAGGTGCTCCTCTACACCCATTATCCTCAGATTAGGCCTTCTGATGGTGTCTTCCAAATGTTGAATAGATCTATCATATTTCTTGGATTTGTCTTGGATAGTTGTATGTTCTTTCTCTATAATAGCTAGGCTGTCTTCAATCCTTGAGTTCGATCTTCTCCATGGTCTAAGCTACTGCCAGGACTTTCTACTTTATTTTTTCTTTTCCTTCTGTCAGCTTTGATGGCTTCCAATTCTTTGTTGGAGCTTTGTTTTAGATCTTGTATGAACTTCTTTACTTCCTTAATTTGGTGTTCAGTGTTTATTCTCAAATCACTTAGTTGATTGGTTATGGTTTCCTTGGATTCCCATTCCTTCTGTCAGGTTCCATTCTGCATTCCCTTTGTGGTCTCCCCGAATTTTCAGCTGTTTATGGATTCCATGAATGTCTCTATTGATCTTTGTCTATTCTCATCCTGCACTTGCAATTCCTGTATTACTCGTTGATTAGCTTCTTCACATTCATGCAATTGCTGTAATTCTCTTTGACTGTTCTCAGCCTGCTCATGCCATTCCTGACTTTCTGTCTGTTCTCAGCCTGCTCATGCAATTCCTGTTTCTCTTTGACTGTTCTCAGCCTGCTCACACAATTCCTTTACTTCTCTTTGAGTGTTCTCAACTTGTTCACTCTAGTTCTGTATCAATCTTTGAGTAGCTTCCTCATGCTCATTCCTATATTGACCTCTGGTTTGCCTCCTCTCTCTTCCTATCATGCCCAAACTGAGTCCTTTGCAGGTTTTCAATCTTTTCATTCACCATGTTTACCAGCAGTGTTTATAGAGCTTTTTGGGAACTCTCCTCTGGATTATTCATTATCTGTTATGTCACCTGATTATCATGAGTGGGAGTTGAGATACCTGGACTGGCCATTTTTCTTGTGTTTTTCCAGCTTGTTCTGCCCATTTGGTATGAAAGTAACACCAATTTTGGGCTAGACCACTATTTTAAAGGAAGCATCAACTAAAGTCCTGTAGTTGCACAGTCAAAATGGTTGCAGATACAATCTATTCAACATCAAACAACTATGGATTAATTGGCTAAGAACAGCAAAGAAGAATTTGGCAAACCAGAAATTATTAGGTTTAGGGACAAATGTGGGTGGAGAGGTAAAAGGAGAGTGAATTTAACCAAGGCTCAAAGAGGGAAATGGATTGAATAAATGATAAGAGATATTTTTTTAAAAAATAGAGGTCGAAAAACAAAAATTTAAATTTAAAAAGTGAGACATTTATAAATTATGCAGGTTTAAAGAAGTAATATTGAGAAAAGAAGAATAGGATCAGAGTAAGGGAGGGATAGAAAAGAGACAGGAAAAAATTAAAAATAAAAATTCTTAAAAAATTTTTATAGGTATAAGGAGATAATACTGCTATTAAAGAATTTAATCCTAAGAGGTTTTGATTTGAGTAATAAATTTCTGGGTTGTGTGTACACAATGAGGGATAAAGTCTAATAATCGACGACAGGTACATATCTGATGATGAGCAGAACAGAAATTAAGTCATGCAAAAAAGAACGAAAAAGAAAAAATGAAAAGAATGAAAAAGAAAAACAAAGAAGAGAAAAAAAGGCTCAAAAGGTCAGTAGAGATTTTTTTAAAAAAAAAATCACACACACACCTAAAACAAAAACTATGTGAGGAAAAAAAATAGAAAATAATTTTTTAATTAAAAATGCTTTAAATGTACAAAAAAAAAGTTCTTTAATTTTTTTTTTTTGGGGGGGGTGGATGGGAAGATTCTGTATCTCCCTTGTGTTCTAACCAGTCTCTTGGTGGAGTCTATGGTCTGCTTGTGGTGTTTGGTTTTCCTGTGGCTTGATTGGTTTCTTAAGTCAGTTTGTTTGAGCAGGCAGAAAAATGCTTAGCTTTACCCAGGATTTTCTGATCCTCCTCCCAGGCTAGTTCAGTGGGAGGGAGATCTGCTTTGAGTATCACAAAAGAGTGAGATGGCTGTTTCCTCTAGTTTGGAGATGATGTGATGAGGCTAGCTTCTGGGCAGGGTTGAGGCCTTTCAGCAAAGTGTAGCTTTTCCCTGAGGGGCTAGCTTTTGAGACACCCACAGAGCCCAGCCAGGAGCCATTCTCAAGGTTTATATTTACTGAATTTCAATTGATTGTCTAGGCTGCTGTAGGGAGGGGCAGCCTCTGGCTCTGTTTACCCAGTAAAGAACACACTTCTCTGGGGGCGGAGCTTCTCTGCCTAGGCTGGATGACTTTCCCCTAAGTGGAACTGAGCCTGGCAGGCCAGGTCAGGTTCCTGTGACCTACTAAATGACTCTTTTGTTTTCTTCCAAGGCCTGAGTAGGAGCTAGCTTCTCAGCTGGGCCTTTGTCAGTATCAAAGATGGAGATCTCAGGTGATGGTAGGCGGGAGATGGGGGGGGGCTTCCCTCCTCTACTCCCTGAGGAATAAGGATGTCAGGGTTCTACTATTGCAGGAGTCTTGGTTCCTGGGTCGTCTCTGGCCTGGGACCTGCAGGATGAAGATATCTGCTCCTTGTCAGTTCTTGCTGGTGTTGAGTAGAATCCACTCGTCTGGCGCCTTTGTCCTGGAATTTTTGTGTTGTAGGTATGGAGGCTCCAGCTGCGGCTGCTGCCATGGCTACCAGCAAGTACTCAGATCTGTCTCCTTGCCTGGATTTTCCCTCTCTGGCCAAACTGTCTGTACTGTGATGGCACACTTGGTGTAATTCTCTGGCCTTGGACTGTTCACTGGAACACCAAAACTGCTTTCTATGCAAGAGCTTGTTTAGCCTCTAGCTTCTCCTCCTCCATCTTCCTCCGACTTTTTTTTTTTTGAATAGGGGAAGGGAATTGGAACCAGAGCTTGAACCAAGTCCCTCATGTTTACTTGGTTTAGGCTAGTGCTCCACCAATTAGGCCATACCTCCAGCTTGGCTTTTTTTTTTTGGTCCAGTAGTGGGGCCTGAACTCTGGGCCTGGGCACTGTACCTCAGCTCTTCAGCTCAAGGTGAGTGCTCTACCACTTGAGCCACAGCGCCACTTCCGGCCTTTTCTTTTTTCTGCTTATGTGGTGCTGAGGAATCGAACCCAGGGCCTCATGCATGCAAGGCAAGCGCTCTACCACTGAGCCACCTTCCCAGCCCCAGCTTGGCTTTTTAATGATTGAGATGAAGTCACATAGAATTTTGCCTGGGATGACTTGAAACCCATTCTGCTCTCAGCCTTCTGAGTAGCTAGGATAACAGATATGAGCAACAAGCTACAAGTAATTTTTTCCCCCAAACATTAAAAGATTGTACATGGTATTCCTATAACAGCACTTGGGGAAAAAAAAACCCATATTAATATTTTTCTCAATCTATAAAAAGATAACATGTTACAGATAACATGCTACACTGGCACTGTGACCCATAATGAGTTTGGAAAATATAACAAGATTCAGCTTTATTATTACATCAGTATAATTTTAACCAAAAGGCATATTAATGTCAGTTTTTTAAAATATAAATATGTTTAAAAGTTGTTTTACAGTATGAGATACCAAGAAAAATACAGTTGTATAAACAGTCATATTGACCATCTGAGAAATAGGATCAGAACCTTACTATGGTAAAAGAAAATACATTTTTAAATCAATCACATCAATACTGGAAATGCTCTATGTAAACAAACATTCCAATCAATACCTCTTTTCTGTGTCAAATTTGTTATGTGTCTACTGTTGTTTTGACGACTGCATAGCTCAGTATAAAAATACAACAGTAAGTCTAATTAGGTAAATTCCAATTCAGAGCTCTTATTTTAAGACAAATATTATGCAAATACTGTATGGAAACAGACCTGTTATAAAGATAACTACTGTAGAAGAACAGTGCACATGTGACACCTTTTGCACAATCTTGATTATCTGCCTTTCTTCCTCCTCTTTGAAGTGCTAGGTTAATGTACATTTACTCTAAAAGTTACTAGAAGAGCATTTAAGAAAGGATTTTCTTGATAAGTAATTGCCAATTATTTCCTATTTTATAGGTTTTTGTACAGCCTTTCTTAAAAAGAATGTTTAATGTGCAATACTTGCAGAAATAAAATCCATCTTTAACTCAAACCCAATTAAGTATTATCAAATATAGTAACATATAGCTCAAAGCAGCAGTGATTCTCAGGGCAACAGGTGCAAGATCCAACGTTTTGATATATATTTACATCATTGTGGTCAGAATAGAAATGTACCAAAACTCCCTTTTCCATTCCACTTAAACTGGTTTCCCATGATTGCAACAAACATCTCCTGTGACATTAAGTTGTCATCAGCTTGTGTGATGCCTAGTTCACTCAATCTTTTCTTCCTCATCTGGCCTTTCTGTGTGGATGCAGCAACTATTTCACTTGCAATTTCATAGTTCCCCTCAGCCTGTTCAGAAAGGTCAGCTTTTACATGAAGTTCCATTTTGCCAGTCGTACACTGAATCAGCTCTTCTAGATCAACCCTTATGGCAGCATCTGCCTCTACACTTGTCTTCAGTTTCATTGCTTCATTTTCTAAAGAAATGCAAATCAAAACAACACTGAGATTCCACCTCACCCCAGTTAGAAGGACTTACAAAATCTAATGACAACAGATGCTGGAAGGGATGTGGCCAAAAGGGAATGCTACTGTTCTGTTGATAGGAGTGTAAACTTGTTTAACCAGTCTGGAAAACAATATGGAGGTTCCTCAAAAGACTACACATAGAGCTCCCTTTGACCCAGCAATCCCACTTCTGGCATTTAACAAAAGACCACAAATAAGGCCATACTAAAGCTATCAGTACAACCATGTTCATTGCACAACCATGTTCATTGCAGCATTATTTATCATAGTTAAGATATGGAAACAACCCAGATCCCCCTCAGTAGATGAAAGTATCAAGAAAATGTGGTAGATATACACAATGGAATTCTCTGCTTCCATCAGAGAATGACCTCGCTCCATTCATAAGGAAATGGAAAGACTTAGAAAAAATCATATTAAGTGAAGAAGGCCAAACTCAAAGAAACATACTCCATGGTTTCCCTCATTTGTAATGATTACTATATGTCTAGGATAGTCCTAGCAGAGTATCATAATAGCTCAATAGCTAGGTACATATGACCACATAAGATGATGCTAAGCAAAATGAACTCCAAGATATGGAAACAAGAGGTTTTCCTTTGTTACTGTTGTTTTTAATGTACTATGTGGAGTCATTTCATTTTTCTTTCATTTTTCCCCCAATGATTTATCCCCTGTTGTCACTGCATTTGATTTTGGCACCCTATGTATTCTATATACATTTATCTGAATTAAGGAAGGGAAGAGGAACAACAAAATGGTGAGACAAAGGACAAAGGTTGAACCAATGCAACAGTGATACTCATAAGATAATATATTGGAAATGAACTTTACAACTTGGGGAGCCTTGGAGGGGAGTAGTGGGAGAAAAACAAGGGAGGGAGCCAGAATGTTTGACAAGAAATGTACCCACTACCTTACATACATAACTATAACCCATCTGTACGTCATCTTGACAATAAAATTAAATTTTAAAAAATTACTAACCATGGTTTCCCTTATTTGCAATATCTAGTATATGTATGAGTCAAGCGGAAAAGGTCAGATAATGCGATGTTAAGAAAATGAACCCTTAGATATGTATTTTAATGTTTTTTTTCCTTTCATGCATTTGTTTCTAACGCATTTATAAGATTATCTCTTTGTAGCTTTGTATGTCCCTTCCCCACAGTATTACCCCTGCCTTCACTATATTTGATGTCAGTATAACTTGTAGAGGAGATGGGGAAAAACAAGTCGTTTAAGGATACAGGTGGACCTGTTGCAACAATGAGAAGTACAAGTTGTCATGTCCAAAACGAGCTTTACAACGTCGGTGCGGTGCGGGGTTGGGGGGGAGTGGGGGGAGAAGGATTGGGACTTGGGGGGGGACGGGGGAGGCTGGGAAGGGATGTGAAGGGTAAACAAAGGAGGAGGCTGCAATGCTTGATAAGAAATGTATGCATTAACCTGCCCATGTAATTGTAACCCCTCTGTACAGTGTGTACACAAAAAATTAAAATTTAAATTTAAAAAAAAATTATTAAAAGCCAAAAACTTGGAAACTGCAGAACCACAGAATTACAATACCAAAGTTCTGGGTGAAAAGTTGAACTTGAAAGTTTCTCTTATTCTGAGATTTTATGTTAGGGTTTCACTAAGCTTCTCTATCTCTATGACCAAGCATGTTCCTGTAATTATTTTCTTTTAACTATATTTTTTTTTTTGTCTTTTCTTTTTTTTGGTACTGGGATCGAACCCAGGACATTGCACTTGCTAAGCAAGCGCTTTGCCACTGAGCTACATCCCAGCCCTCCTGTAATATCTTTAAGTAGGGAAAGGATACTCATGTCCTAATTAGATGTTAGTGCTAAAATAAATTAAATCTGGTTCTCATATTAAGAAATTACAAAATAAACCATACCTTCAGTTTCATCTTGGGTATTTTTTTGCAGGTCAGAGAAAATTACAGGTTTCACCAAAACAACACCATAACCTTCATTATTATGTATCATATTATTTACCATGGATATCTTGGGAATGTCATAATGCTCATCTAAGAAGTCCTGTGACATTGAAAACAAATCATACTCAACATTGTCTGTTTTAAAAATCTTCTAAATTTTTCACACTATTCTAAAAATAAAATAGAAAAGATATGCTTACATGATACAACATTCCTTTAATTTTTAAAGAATCTAAGGCAGCAAAGCTTTCTCACAAGAGCCTTTCAATCACCAACCACAAATAGTATTAAAATTTATGTGATGTTTATACCTCTCAAAATAAGACAACAAAGCCTGGAATTGGTGGATCATGCCTATAATACTAGGTACTCAGAAGGCTAAGATCTGAGGACTATGATTTGAAGCTAGCTTAGGCAGCAAAGTCTGTAAGACCCTTATGGCCAATTAACCACCAAGAGGGCAGAAATCTAACTATGGTTAAGTTGTTAAGTGCTAACATTGTGAGAAAAAGCTAACAATAGCCCATTGGCTCTGAGTTTAAGCCACAGCACAAGCACACACCAAAAAAAGACAACAAAACACAAAAAAACTTCTTAAAAAAAATTTTGTTGGGGCTGGGAAGGTGGCTCAGTTGTAGAGCGCTTGCCTTGTATGCATGAGGCCCTGGGTTCGATTCCTCAGCACCACATAAGCAAAAAGAAAAAAGCCGGAAGTGGTGCTGTGGCTCAAGTGGTAGAGTGCTAGCCTTGAGCTGAAGAGCTGAGGGACAGCACCCAGGCCCAGAGTTCAGGTCCCATGACCGGACTCAAAAAAAGAAAAGAAAAAACTTTTGTTGTTGTTGTTGTTTGTTGTTGTAGGTCGTGGGGCCTGAACTCTGGCCCTGGGTGCTGTCCCTCAGCTTTTCAGCTCAAGGCTAGCACTCTACCACTTGAACCATAGCAACACTTCTGGCTTTTTTCTGCTTATGTGGTGCTGAGAAATTGAACCCAGGGCCTCATGCATGCAAGGTAAACATTCTACCACTGAGCTACCTTCCCAGCCCACTAAAAAAAGTTTTTTTTAAGTGAAACCATTCTAGCCTTCAGGAAGAGCACATTTTAGCCACCAACTCACCTTGATGAGAATCCCCTCCTTGCAATGATGGATCACATTGTCAATCAGGGAACACTGACTCCCAGGATATATCTCTATACCAGCACCCTGCAGGTTAAATAATGTCATCATTATTTAAAAGACAGTTTTTTAAAAGACAGGATTATAAAAAGTTTATTACAATCACATTCTAGCCTTTAATATAGTACAAAAATAAAATACAAAGGTAACTTTTATTTGATACATCTAATCAAGACTTCTATTTGCTCCATTTCCAACAAACTGATGATCACATCACTTTTTTAAATTTAACTTTTTATCTCTAAGAAGTTGTACGAAAAGGATTTCTGTTCAACATGTCAGTGTACAATGCATCTCCATCAATGTCACTCCTTCCATCATTCATCCTCTTCTCCAACTCCATCCATCCCTTCAAGTTACCTGGTTCCATTTTCATACATGTACACCGAACATTATGACTATAGAACATTATGACTATATTCAGGGACCTTTTCTCACTCCATTCATCTGCCCTCCCTCTACTAGTCCCAACTATTCCTTCTACCATCCTCCCAACAACATGTTTCCGCTTTCTGGTATTCAGCTTGTTAAATTTTAAGTCAGTCATTCAAAGGAGATATACCATTGGAATCATCCCAGTGTATATTATACTTTAGTTAATTTGTGTATATTGATCACATTACTTTCAAAACCTCACACACTCATACATATAGACACAAAATGCTTAAAAATGTCACATTGACTTTTGTTCTTTCATTCCAGATAATTTGTCTAGTTCTGTCAAAAATAAGCCATTTAGCAATAACTATTAAAATACTAAGATAAAAAGACCATTCTGAGAGGTAATAGAGAGAAATACGTTCTACTTTTCAAAAACAAGCCAGCTTAAAATAGACCTTAAAAAACTAATTCAGAAATCACCTCTGAGTTAAACAGCTCCTACTCCTATTACTACCCATGACAAAATCAGCATCTAATTTCAATGCTATTTATACCAAGTAATTTAAAAGACCCCATACAGGATCCAATTCTTGCATACTTCATGCAAAAAAAAAAAAAAAAAAAACGCCAATACTTTATTTCCTCATGATATGGTAGACACTTTGAAAACCAAATGTTCACTCATATCTTTATGGCTATTTGAGAAACCATTTAGGAATAATTTAATTCCCAATATATAAAAGAAGACATGTGTGCTCATTTATGACACAGCTATTGTATTATGCTAAATTGTTTTTCTAGGAGTCATAGTATACAGGGAGAAAGCATTAGCTCCTCATTTACAAGTGGATGGAGCACATGTAATCAGCCTAACACTTCTAGACAGTCTGCTAGCTGGGCACCGATAGCACATGCATGAACTGACTTTATATCTTTATATCTTGAATATCTAATTCATTCAGAACTTAAACCCAATAACTACTCCTTTTAAAGCAATAAAAAATTATCATACTTTGGCACCATATAAATCTGAGTCCTTCATTAAAAATTCAGCCGATGTTCGTATGGTGACACCTGTAGTTTCACATTGCAGTACACAATTGTCCAGTGTAGTCTTGCCATGATGAATAACTACAATGGAAACAAAGGGTTGCAGTAACTCATACCATAATCCTAGTTACTCAGGAGGTGGAGATTGGGAAGGTTTCAGTTTGAAGCCAACTTGGGCAAAAAATTATACAGATTGCATATCAACAAAAAAGTGTGATGATTCACACTTTTCACTTCAACTATGTAAATAAGGAATTGTAAACATGATCCTAGTGTAGGCCAGACTGAAAATAAACATGAGACACAATCCCAAAAATAACTAATAACAAAAGAGGACAGACACTGATGATGTATGCTTTAATCCTAGCTATTCAGGAAATGGAGATCTGAGGATTGCGGTTTGAAGCCAGTCTAGGCAGGAAAGCCCATGAGACTCATATGCCCAATTAACCAGTAAAAAACCAGAAGTGAAGCTGTGACTCAAGTAGTAGAACATTAGTTGTGAGCAAAAACAAGCTAAGGGACAGCACCCAGGCCCTGTTTTCAAGCCCCAATACCAGTACACCAAAAAAAAAAAAGAAAGAAAAGAAAAAAAGAGCTAAAATCACATCTCACATAGTATAGTGCCTGCCTAGCAAGTACAGTCTTGAATTCAAACCCTAGTACTGGAAAAAAAAAAAAAAAAAGGGAATGTGCCTATTTCAATATTAGAAATAGACTACAACACTAGACAGTCTAAATATTTCTCAAAGAATACCATTTAAAGTTTGTTAAATTCATAAAATATAAAACAAAGACTATAATATTTTCTAAAAGTCAACATTCTTAAAAAGAGACTAACAACCTCAGAAATGCAAAGTATTCATTCATTACAAAAAGTGCGTGTGTGTGTGTGTGTGTGTGTGTGTGTGTGTGTGTGTGTGTGTGTGTGTGTGTGTGTGTGTATCTTGGAAGGAAGAAGAATTAGTATCCGAAAAAGTAGAGCATACAAATTCTAGGAAGTCATACTAGAACAATGTGTCTTAGTTGGTTTTGGGTTGCTATAACAAACTGCCCAACATTGGGTAACAGTTTTTTTAAAAAAGAGGTTAATTTGAGTCATGATTCTATGTGTATATGTGCGCATGTGTGCGTGTCTGTGTGCACTCACGCACTAGTGCCAGTACTGGGACTTTAACTCGTGGTCTTGTGCTCTTGCTGGGCTTTTTCTTCTCACTGCTGTATCACTTGAGCCACACCTCCAGTTTCAGCTTTGTGAAGGTTAATTAAATCTATCACATTTGTCTGCCTGGGCTGGCTTTGAACCTCAGTCCTCAGATCTCAGCATCCTGAGTAGCTAGAACTATATATATGAGCCACTAGCACCCAGCTCTGGTGGCTTTCAAGTTCAGTCTGAAAAGATCTCCCCAGCTGTATTACAACAAGCATAAATGTAAAATGTCATATGCAGCAAGGGCACATGGACTACTAGCAAGGACGATTTTAGGGATGGCCCATCCTTACTCTTTTAAAACAACCCACTCTCAAGAAAACTGATCCACTCTTGTGATACCTGCATTAATCTATTAATGAAAGTGGACCATCTGTGACCTATTAGTTCCCACAAATCTCCAACACTTAAAAGAGCAAGCTCCCTTTAGAAGGCACACTGAATCTAAAGCATACCACAGTATTAAGAAAGCTGGCTTTGGCCTAGCATTACACCAAATACAAAAAGCACAGACCACAATATGTAGTGAGTTAAAAAATGTAATGACAAAAAAAAAATCTAACAAAAAAGAAACCAGTATTATATAACTCTTGGGGCTGGAGGCATGGCTCAGGCAGTAGAGCATCAGCCAATGAGCAAATGCATCAGATATGAAGTCTGAGTCCAAGTCTCAGACCAAAAAAGTCCCTCTTCAATGAACTACCTTTTCACTTTAGAGTAAGCTTCCTAAGTCATTATGTTATATACATAATTAATCAGCCCTCCATATACTCAAGGCATTTCATTAAATTCTATTTTCCATAGAAAGTATTCTTTCAAAGCCTAGAACAAATAATAAAACATGCAGATACTTACTTAAGATTCCTTCTACAGCATCATGCTGAATAAATTTTATGCTTGAGATTTTAATATCTGCCCCTGTGCAATCCACAAAAGTGTCCCCTTTGCCCCTCTTTTCTATCACAATATCATCTGGTATACCATACCCTATGGAAGAGAAAAAAACCCACTTAAATGTGAGGGGCAAAAACTCTAGGATAGATTTCTCTAGTTCATGATTCCAAGGGATACAAGTAGACCAGTATCTAAATAAAATCTATCTCCCCAGATACTTACATTAATTTAATGCAGTGTATTAAATTTTTAACAAATTCCCAATTTGTCCCAACATCAAAAAAATAATGATTCTCAGGGGCTGGGAAGGTAGCTCAGTGGTAGAGCACTTGCCTTGCATGCATGAGGCCCTGGGTTCAATTCCTCAGCACCACATAAGCAGTTAAAAAAAAAAAAAAAAAGTGGAAGTGGCACTGTGGCTCAAGTGGTAGAGCACTAGCCTTGAGCTGAAGAACTGAGGGACAACACCCAGGCCCAGAGTTCAGGCCCCACAACCAGACACCCCTGCTAAAAAAAATAATAATGATTCTCAACACTATGAAGGCTAAGGTAAGAAGATCACAAATTCAAGAAGGTATAACCCCTGTTTTCACTGTATTTGATGTTGGTATAATTTGCAGAGGGGAAGGAGAAAAAAAAGAAATTGTTTAAATAGGGATACCGGTGGACCCATTACAACAATGAGATGTTATGTCGAAAAACAAACTTTACAACTTTGGCGCTGGGGATGGGAAGGGATGGGAAGGAGAAACAAAGGAGGAGGCAACAATACTTGATAAGAAATGCACTCATGGGGTTGGGAAGGTGGCTCAGTGGTAGAGCGCTTGCCTTGCAAGCCTGAGGCCCTGGGTTCGATTCCTCGGCACCACATAAGCAAAAAAGAAAAAAGCCGCAAGTGGCACTGTGGCTCAAGTGGTAGGAGCACCAGCCTTGAGCTGAAGAGCTGAGGGACAGCGCCCAGGCCCAGAGTTCAGGCCCCACAACCAAACCAAAAAGAGAAAAAAAAGAAATGCACTCATTACCTTGCCCATGTAATTGTAACCCCTCTGTATGGTATTTTCACAAAAAAAAAGAACAACCTATGTTCAAAGTCAGCTTGAACTACATAATGAGTTCTAGGTCAACACAGACTACATATACTATATAAAAAAGAAACTTCCTAAAGATTCACAGCAGAATCAAAGGACTTTAACATATTCAATTTCAGCCCTTTTATCATTCTAATATTGTACAACTCTATGTGAATTTAAATCCAGCATTTCTCAAGATTAGCTAACTAATAATTCTGTTAAACACACTGACTTAAATGTTACAAGCTGACTTCAAGTAGAAAAAAAAAGGCTCATTTTACTAACACTAAATAACATCAAATCTGAGTATTTATAACTAAAAAGTAGTAGATTCCTATGGTAAACTCATTCCCAGTAATATCAACCCTATTAAATTGCATATTTCTTAATTAAATAAAAATCTGTTAATTCCTGTCACAAAAAAAAAATAGCATCAAATCTCTACAAAAGTTTTCTTTCTTTACAGTGCTGGGGATCAGATCCTGGAACTTTCACATGTAAAGCAACCACTCTAACACTGTATCAGCCCCAGCCCCTAGCTAAATCTTACAACTAATAATGCAATTTAAACTAAATGAATTTATAGAGTATCAGAAAACAAGAACTTGGGCTGGGAGTGTGCTTAGTGATACAGTGCTTGCCTAGAAAACTGAAGAACTTGCCAGGCACCAGTGGCTCACATCTGTAATCCTAGCTACTCAAGAGCCTGAGATCTGAGGATCATGGTTCAAAGCCAGCCCAGTTCAAATGCAGCCCAGCAGGAAACTCCATGAGATTCTTATCTCCAATAAACCACCAAAAAACTGGAAGTGGCCCTGTGGCTTGCCTTGAGCTGAAGAGCTCAGGGACAGTACCCAGGCCCAGAGTTCAAGTCCCACAACTGAAAAAAAAAAAAAAACAAAACTCAAGAACTTGACTGTATTTCATCATAAAACTACATAGACAAAACTTTAAGTAACAAATAACTCTTAGGCTGGGAAGGTAGCTCAGTGGTAGAGTGCTTGCCTTGCATGCATGAGGCCCTAGGTTTGATTCCTCAGCACCACATAAGCAGAAAAAGTCAGCAGTGACGCTGTGGCTCAAGTGGTAGAGCACTAACCTTGAGCTGAAGAGCTGAGGGACAGCACCCAGGCCCAGAATTCAGGCCCATAACTGACAAAAAAAATAAAAAAAAGAAATAACTTATTGTCTAAAGATTAATGTTGGCTTGATTAGATGAAAGCATTAGCTGCTCTAAACAGCAAGGTTACTTGAGGAGTACAGACAAGACTTTAAGAACAGTAGAAGATGATAAGGAGGCTCTATTCACAAGAATGTTACAGATATGGACACTGGATAATTAAGGATGTGGGTAATTTGTCTCTGTTTCCTTATATGAGCCTGCCTGTACTCTGCATATTTTCTACAACAATTATAATCTTTAGAAACATATATATAAAAAGAATTTCATGCTGAGGAACATTACATTTGATGTAATTATACAAATTACATAGGCTTAGCACTTAAAAATTGAAAACTCTAATTGATTTTCTAAACGAGAATACAAAGCTCTATTGTAATGTAAACCTGAATATAATACTCAATATATATCACTTGTTAATAAGAGTTATGAGTCACTCCATATATTCACATCAGACATATCATCTGTCCAATTCTCAGAAATGCTTGTTAATAAATGTAGTCATTTTTACACTAAACCAGAATTCAATATTATTAATATATAATTCATATTAATAGTGCCACTAATACTAATGATACTCTGGCAATTGTAAGTTCTTTGCTAACCTACATAGAACTAATAATATCAATAGATTGATAACTGTAACTATTACGCCAATGTTATTTTCCCTGTGCCAAAAAGTATATATAAAATGTCTTTATTGCAGTGCTTTATCCTGGAGATCACTGTAAACATATAGAGTATAACTGTTAAAAATTTATTTTTAATTGAATCTACCAACATTAATGTTATTAAAAATATATTTTAGTCAGGATACAAAGTGTAGCTTCTGTGACAGTCAGTAAGTTGTAAGAATTAAGATAACTTTTTGGTATCAATTTAAGGTGAATGCACTTCACAAAAATAAACTATATTAGCCAGGTACACCAGTGGCTCACACCTATAATCCTAGCTACTCAAGAGCCTGAGATTTGAGCATTGTGGTTCAAAGCCAACCCAGGCAGCAGAGTCCTTGAGACTCTTATCTCCAATTAACCAACAGAAAACCAGAAGTGGTACAGCCCATTGCAATAACCCGTATATCAAGATATCCATGTGTTGGATAAGAGCAAACAACAATTTTTTTAATATTGAAAAATTAAAAACATAAACTAAAATTAAAAAATTAAAATATTGCTGCAGTTGTTTTACCATCCTAGAAATTAAGTTTCTTTCTATAAGCTACCGACAATCTAAAAGCTAAAGTACTTTCTCGTAATGGTATTATTACTTTACATGTGCCTATAAACAACTTCCCATCATACACTACCACAAAGATCTGCAACTCGGAAGTGGTGCTGTGGCTCAAGTAGTAGAGTGCTATCCTTGAGCTGAGGGACAGTGCTCCACGACCAACAAAAAAAAAAAAAGATCTGCAACTCAGATCTAGGCTTTAAATACCCTTAATGTCCCAAGGCAACTCACTGAAAATCAAATGGGAGTTTTGGTAAGATTTGATTCACTCTCATACATGAGAGTTTGGCTGGATCCTCTTCTATACTCACCTTCTAACTCAATGGAGTCAGCAATGGAGAATGAACCATGTACCGTGTAATGGCCTGGACAAACAATAACAGTGTCACCTTCATAGCAGGCATTTACAGCTGACAGTGGATCACTATGAAACTAGAAAACAACACAGTGTAAATACTCAACCTGCAAAAGCAACAAGTATTGCTACAAATACTTTCATGGGTCACTTACAAATGGAGAAAAACTGCACACTTAAGTATTTCCTATGACAGTGCTCTGAGCCCAATGCACTCTTGAAGGGTTACAATGCTGACCAAGGGCAGAGCTCCCACCACTTCCTATTCCATAGAAAATCAGTTCTGGAAGCTCCCATAAATAATGGAGAATTCAGAACAACCTAGGAAAAACCTAAAGACAAAACCACCTGGTCCAAGAAACACCAGTACCTGAATTTCCATTTCTTCCTTACACAGCTTGTCCCTCAGCAGAGACTGAAGCAGACCAGTCCTCACGGTGGAAGAGACCACATGAGTCACCTTCTGGCCATTTGGACGTGTGCCCTTTGCTTGGATACTAGAGTTCTTCTGATAACCAAACACATATCTTAAAGAAACCAAAAGATCCATGAGTTCTCAGTAACACAGCTCCTAAGAAAGAAGCTAACTAGTTAAGAATAACAGAGACACACATACCTTAACAAAGGATTCTCAATGAGTTTTAGCTTTTGTTTCAGCTGTTCAATCTCTGAATACAGTTTTAACCCTTCTACCATAGTGATGTTTTCTTGCTCAGAATCAGAATTACAATTTGACAAACTGCTTCTCAGATTCAAGAATTTCCTATAATTCTCCTCACATTGCGACAAGAGATTGTGGTAGTCAACAATAAGTCCTGAGGGAACTCGGTCTTCAAGAATGTCATAATGCCTGAAAGTTTAAGAGCAAACTGAAATTCACTGGTTTTTGAGAACATTTTCCTATCTTAACTGGGATTATTTAATCTTCAGAGTAAGTTGTTCTGAATAAGTAAAAACTATTAGAACTTTAAAGTAGTACTTCATTAGGATCAGTACTTTTTCTTGTTTTGTAAAGTTTTTCCTTAAACGTTTGTACCTTACAAACATTATCAGGTCATAGTTGTAACATATAATTGTAATCGCTAATAAATTATTTTGCAGGGAACTGGTGGCTCATATCTGTAATCTGAGCTACTTAGAAGACTGAGATCTGAGGATCATGGTTCAAAGACCCCAGAACTTTTATCTCCAATTAATCAGCAAATCCCTGGAAGTAACTATGTGGCTCAAAAAAGAAAAAGCTAAGCAAGAGCATGAAGCTCTCAGTTCAAGCCCTGGAACTGGCACCAAAAAAAAAAAAGAAAGAAAAATAGATTTGAAAACATTCATAATCTAGAAAAATGTTTCAGTATTTTAGAAATCTGTATTTACCACAAATATTAACCATTTAATATTTTCATCTTTCAAGTAAGAACTTGACAGAACATCTTGAGTCAATTTAGTCTACTGTGTTTTATTATGTAGAGCAAAATTGTATACCTTTTAATTTTAAGTGAAAGCAAAGAATCTTCTATAATTCAATTAGTTTCACTATTTCTCAAATAACTATTTTTGAATGCAACAATAGGATTTTTTATGTACTCTAATTGAACTGTTTTGGTGTTTTTTGTTGTTGCTGTTGTTCTAGCAAAGATTTATTTTAGTATAACAGGGCTAAAGTAGGGGGAAACTGCAAGGGATTGGGAGTTAAACTGTGGCTCAAGTGGTAGAGCACTAGCCTTGAGCAAAAAAGCTTAAGGATAGCACCAAAGCACTGAGTTCAAGTCCAGGACCATGACAAAAAAAAAAGAGAGAGAGAGAAAGAGAAAGAGAGAGAGAAAGAGAAGAAAAAGAGAGAGAGGAAGGAAGGAAGGAAGAAAGGAAGGAAGGAAGGAAGGAAGGAAGGAAGGAAGGAAGGAAGGAAGGAAGGAAGGAAGGAAGGAAGGAAGGAAGGAAGGAAGGAAGGAAGGAAGGAAGGAAGGAGAAAGAAAGAAAGAAAAAGTAGCATTGTGGCTCAAGTGGTAGAGCTTGAGCTAAGAGCTCAGGGACAGTGCCCAGGCCCAGAGTTCAATCCCCACAACCAGAAGAAAAAAAAAAGGTTCACTGGGTGCCACGGCTCACACCTGTAATCCTAGCTACTTAGGAGGCTCAGATCTGAGGATTGCAGTTCAAAACCAGTTTGGGCAGGAAAATCCATGACACTCTTATCACCAATAAACCACTGAGAAAACCAGACATGGCACTGTGGCTCAAGTGGTAGAGCGGTCGCCTTGAGCTGAAGAGCTGAGGGACAGTGCCAAGGCCCAGAGTTCAAGTCCCATGGGAAAGGGAAAGGGAAAGGAAAGGAGAAAGAAAATAGTAAGAGAATAAGAGACATTTTCTGCTCCCCTGGCAGAAAATGGAAGTTACAGACTCAAAAATAAATTGAGGAGCTGGGAAGGTGGCTCAGCAGTAGAGTGCTTGCCTCACATGCATGAGGCCCTGGGTTCAATTCCTCAGTACCACATAAACAGTAAAAAAGGCTGGGGGGCTGGGAAGGTGGCTCAGTGGTAGAGCGCTTGCCTTGCATGGCTGAGGCCCTGGGTTCAATTCCTCAGCACCACATAAGCAAAAAGGAAAAAGCCGGAAGTGGCACTGTGGCTCAAGTGGTAGAGCGCTAGCTTTGAGCTGAAGAGCTGAGGGACAGCACCCAGGCCTAGAGTTCAGGCCCCACAACTGGACCCAAAAAAAAAATAAAATAAATAAAATAAATAAAAAATAAAATAAAAAAGGCTGGAAGTGGCACTGGGGCTCAAGTGGTAGCCTGCTAGCCTTGAGCTGAAGAGCTCAGGGACCTAGAGTTGAAGCCCCACGGCTGACAAAAAAAAAAAAGAATTTTATTCAGATTTACAGTGAGCCATTAACTTATTCTTAAACTGTCAATCTTTAAAAGTACACAGGCAAATGTGGTGGCATGCACATTCATTAAATCCCAGGAGTCACCAGGCGACGGTGGCTCACGCCTGTAATCTCAGGAGGCTGAGATCTGAGGATCACAGTGTGAAGCCAGCCTGGACAGGAAAGTAATCCTACCAGCTATAGAAAACACAATGTTCTCTAAGGTGAATATGGTATTTGCTATGGTTGATAGTCACAAGGTATACAATATAGAGAACTTCTTGGAACAGTGAAATTTCCCCACATTAGTTTTATTGAGGCTTCCATTTTATCAGAACTATATCAACATCAACTCAGCATAAGATAATGTCACTCATTGATATAGCAAAGACTAGGAAAAAGGCTAGGTATGACAGCTTGTGTTTGTAATTCAGTTTCTAGAAAGGCAGAGATCCAGGACTGTGATTCAGGCCTGGCTTTGTGAAAAAACTTGAGACCTTATCTGAAAAATAACCCAAAGAAAAAGAGAAAAGGGAGAGGGAAAGAAAGAGGAAGAGGCAAAAGGAATTAGAGAAGGGGAGTTGGAGAGAAAAGAGGAGTTGTAGGGAGAGGGAGAGATGTGACAAAGAGAAGAACAGGTTACAGATGAAAATAAGATTCTTATGTCCAATAACCTACTCAGAAAAAGCTGGAAGTAGTGCTGTGGCTCATGTGGTAGAGTGCTAGCCTTGAGTAAAAAGAAAACTCAGGAACAGCATCTAAGCCCTGAATTCAAGTGCCAGAAACAGAACACAACCATACAACCACATACACACACACACACACAAACACACAACCTAGGACTCTCAGGAGATAAAGGCAGGAAGATTTTGAGTTCAACAACCATACAACCACACACACACACACACACACACACACACACACACACACACACACACACACACACACACACACACACAACCTAGGACTCTCAGGAGATAAAGGCAGGAAGATTTTGAGTTCAAAGACAGCCTGAGCTACATAGTGAGACCTTGTCTCAAAAAAAATAAATAGGGACTAAGAAGGTGTCTCCATGGTAGAGTGCTTGCCTTACATGCATGAGGCCCTGGGATCAATTCCTCAGCACCACATAAGCAGAAAAAAGCCAGAAGTGGCGCTGTGGCTCAAGTGGAAGAGCGCTAGCCTTGAGCTGAAGAGCTGAGGGACAGCGCCCAGGCCTAGAGTTCAAGCCCTATAACCGACAAATTAATTAATTAATTTTAAAAAATTCTAGTGTCTCTACATCAATTTCACTTAATAATTTGTCAAGGGCTTATACTTGTTCTATATCTGTTTCTGTTTCTGAAATGGGAGTGGGAGTAGGGGGGTGTTTGTAACAAAGGTAAAATTAACATGAATAACTACTTTTCCAACACATACCAAGTCAGTTATAAATACTTACAATCTCAAGCGAGGCTCAACACATCTGACAAAATAATCATACTCGTCCTCCTCTTCTTCATCCCAGCTTCTCCAGATGTTTTGGTAGAAAAATCTGAAAAGGAGTTTACTTGTATTCAAATTCAATCACTGGCTCAAATGTTTTGCAAGGGTGACAGCTATAAAACAAATCAAAGTAATCCTACCAGCTATCACAAACACACAATGTTCTTTATTAATGCAGTGTTTGCTATGGTTGACAGTCACAAGTTACACAACATGCAGAATTTCTTTGAATCAGCTAGTGAAATTTTCCCACAACACTTGTTTTACTAGGATTTCCTTTTTATAAGAACTGTATTGAAGATCAACATCAACTGGGCAGAAAACAGTGCAATTTCTGGACATAGAAAAGATAAGGAGAGGGGCTGGGAAGGTGGCTCAGTGGTAGAGCACTTGCCTTGCATGCTCGAGGCCCTGGGTTCAATTCCTCAGCACCACATAAGAAAAAAAAAAAAGCCGGAAGTGGCGCTGTGTGGCTCAAGTGGTAAAGCGCTAGCCTTGAGCTGAAGAGCTGAGGGACAGCGCCCAGGCCCAGAGTTCAGTCCCCACGACCGGACCCACCCCCACCAAAAAAAAAAAAAAAAAAAAGAAAAGGTAAGGAGAAAGAATAGGTATAACAGCTCATGATTATAATCTAGTTACTCCAAAGGCAGAGATCCAAAAAGGCTGGGGCATAGCTCAAGTGGTACAACTTGCCTAGGAAACATGAATCCCTAGGTTCATTCCCCAGAACAGCCAAATATAATAGATAATAACAATAATAATATATTTCCTTATTCCTTATCTTAGACCAGTAAGAATCTCAACTGGAGGAAGAACAGTCTATTTTTGTATAGCTCCCCAAATGATTTAACATTTTTATTATAAAATTTTTCAACTACATAAAGAGAACAAAGGAATCATGAATAGTATATAAAGATCACTATCACCTGTTTTCAATAATTATCAACTCATAGGTTATCTTTCCTCATCTCTACCCCTCCCACTTACCCCTCTGCTCCTCTAACACACAGTCCTGACACGGGGTTATTTTGCAGCAAATCTCAGGGATACAACTTTCATAAATTTTAAATCTTTATATCAAAAAGTTTTAATTCCTAATATTATAAAACATCTGACAATGTTCAAATTTCTCTAGTTGTCTCTTGCTGTTGTTGATTTTATCTAGAGTCAAACAAGAGTTGCATTTGCTGTATCTCTTAATCATTTTTATTCCATAGATTTCCTTTCCTTCTTTTTCCCTGCAATTTATTTAACAGTTCCAAACACTCTGAATTTTGTTAATTATATACTTAAGAAAGTCATTTTCTGTGTTCTTCTATTTCCTTTATTTCTAGTAAACTGAGAGATCTAGAGTTTTCTGGTAAGAATACTTCAGGAGAGATATAATGCAATGCCATTAGGAAGCACACACAATGCCTGGTCATCCATTTTTTTGAGGTTAAGATGGATGGATACTGGTGTTATCAGTCTGATCTACCTGCTACATGTTCCCTACAAGTTTTTCAGTTGTACTTACCATTGCTCGCTGCCTGGAACCTTTTTTTTCCCATTAAGAGTTATAAAATACATATATTCTGATTTTTATCATTCCTTTCTTCTTACATAAGTTGGAAAACTTCTATTTAAAAAAAAAAACAAAAACAAAAAACAGGGGAGTTCACATGGGCACCCATGCCATCCAGCACAGGGTTGCCATGTCAGAGCTGCTGCAGCTCCAGGTGCAGGAGACAGTAGAGTGTACAGTGAAGACTGTGGAGAGAAAAAACATTTGGAAGACACAGGGCCTCATGTTCTGGTGCAGAACCACATGCTGTGAAGACAGCCAGGCTCCATGCAACAAGTGCCAACAGTATATCACTGACTGTTGCCACAAACCTCTGGCTCAAGCTCAGAACTGGTGACAAGTGAACTGGAAAAGTTCCAGGACCACCTGGCCCAGTGTATATATTACAACAACAGAACCAGATTCAATAGATGCAAGGAATAAGGAGATCCCTAAGCTTTTTTTGTTCAAGGATACCACTCTAACACTTCTGACTTTTTGGTGGTTAACTGTAAATAAGTATCTCACAAACTTTCTCACAAACTGAGCTAGCTTCAAACCACAATCCTCAGATCTTAAGCCTCCTGAGTGGTTAGGATTACAAGTATGAACCATTAATTCCTTTTAAACCACAAAACTAGAAGTTGGCCTAGATTTCCATATCATTTTTATTGGGCCACCACATCCCAGACCCTTCAGTGAGTCTCCATCAGTGCTCATTGCTGCTCTCTTGCCTCTTAAATGGGTTTCATATTGCATCTCCCTCCATTTATTTTCCATGCAGAAGCCAGAAATTTTCAAATACAAAGCTGGTCACCCTCTACAAAGAGCACAGTTGCTGCTAGTTTTAGTGTTGGACTTAGACCTCCTCCGGCCTATATGCTTCTCATATACCTGGGACTATAGGTATGAACCACAACTAGCCAGCACGATCCACAATTTTGAAGGCAGTTTCTAACCTACACAAACAAAATTGAATATCCTCTATCTTCTGCTAACATTTGCAAATACCAAGTAAAGAAAGTCCTTTTGCTATTTTTAAACTTTTTTGCAGGTTTGAAATGACTACAAAGTAAATATTTTAAACATTTTTTGTTTTTATTTTAACTTATAGTGTCCTAGAGGATGGATGTGTGGCTCAGTGGTAAATAAAGCATGTGCTTTGTAAGCAAAAAAACAAGATTCAAGAAAGAAGTTAAAAAAAAAAAAAAAATAGGTTCAATCTCCAGCAAAACAAAAAGGGATATTCCCCTAGTCTTTGAATATTTTTATCTTTTTTGTTTTTGAAGGTATTGAGGTTTGAATTCAAATTCTCACATTGCTACACTGCTGTTATATAGCCTCCATCCCTGTATTTCACTTGTCACTTTGAAGAATAGGATCTCATTTCTTGTATGGGTGCAAACCTGAGCTGCTATTTGTCTATTCTGAGGCTTCCCATAGTAGCTAGATCACAGGCACACATCAGTGTCCAGTTTCTCTCTGTGGAGATGGAGTCTTGCAGATTTTTCTGCCTGGGCTGGCCAAGTTAACCCACTTTAAGTCTTCTACATTCTAAGTCTTCTCATTTTAGGATGGCAGTCATCCTAAAATGAGAAAGGATTGTATTCCTGTCCATGCTGGCATTAAATATGATCTTATTGTTCTGAGCCTCCCAAATAGCTAGGATTACAATAATAAGGCAGTGGTGCCCACCAAGTTCTAAATATTTTTAAATACAGCAGTAACAAAGTTTTTACATCTTGAGTTTTAAACTGAGTCTAATCAAGACCAGAATTATTTAATTTATTGTTGTAATGTTATTTTTATCAATTTCTCTTCCTACCTGACATGCTCAATTGCAAGGGCTGTCTGGTCAAACACTCCAGAATCATCAAATACTACCCACAACTCCTGTAAGGGCAATCGATATTCCTTCAGATCAAGAAGCTCCTTCATACACTCCAAAGTAAAAGTGCTCACTTCAGATTCACAAATATATGGCTCAGCAAGTTTCACCACTGCCTTTAAGGCTGAAAAGTCCACATCTGTAACCTGAAATTTAAAATAATGTGACTCAACACATGGAAAGCAAAGGTAAGATGCACATATAAAGCACTATAAATAAATAGTTTACTTGTGTATAGGGAGAGGGGAATTTGTTCCAGCCCTGGGGCTTGAACCCAGAGCCTCAGTGCTATCTCTGAGATTTTTCTCAAGGTTAGTGCTCTACCACTTGAGCCACAGCTCCACTTCTTACTTTTTAGTGGTTAGAGATTAGAGTCTCACAAACTTTCCAACCTGGGCTGGCTTACAACTGTGATCCTCAAGGATCACCCTCATGAGTAGCTGGGATTACAGATAGGAGTCACCAACACAACAATGACTGTGTGCTTGGTTTTTAACCATGAAATAGGAGCAAAGAATAAATAAGCCCAGCAAGGTAAGGGTGGCTCAAGCCTTAATACTACTTACTCAAGGCTAAAATCTGAGGATCACAGCTTGAAGCCAATATAGTCAGTGAAGTCTAAGAGACTCTTATCTTCAATTAACCACCAAAAAGCCAAAAGTGAAGCTGTGGCTGAAGAGACAGCAAATAAGCTAAGGGACAACAGCAATGCCCTGAGTTCAGCACAAATAAAAATAAATAGAAAAGAACAAGCCCAGTACTGGTGGCTCACACCTGTAATCCTAGCTACTCCGGAGGCTGAGATCTTAGGATCACCATCCAAAGCCAGCCTGGGCAGGAAGCCCGTAAGACTCTTATCTACAATAAACCACTCAGAAAATCAGAAGTGGCACTGTGGCCCAAGTGGTAGAGCACCCGCCTTGAGCTGAAGAACTGAGAGACAATGCCCAGGCCCAGAGTTCAAGCCCCACAACTTACGGAAAAAAAAAAAAGAAAACAACAAGCCTAGTGTTTACCCTCATGGAATTCACACTGTAATCAGAAAGAAAAATAAAACAGGATAGTGTTGAACATGTAACAAAGTAACTATAGGTCTATGCCTTTACAAGATTATTTTTCTTTTTTTTCTATTATTTTATTGTTATTATTAAGGTATTATAAAGAGAGGTTACCATTTCATAAATCAGGTAATGAGTACATTTCTTTTTTTGGACATTGTCACCCCTTCCTTCACCCTCTCCCAGTAAAGCAACTCATAGTCACATTCCCTATTTAACATTTAACAAGGTTTTTTTTTTGTTTTTTTTTGGGGGGGGGGGTTTGGGGGGAGGGAGTTGTGATACATTGACAAATAATGAGAAAAATTCCAAGTTGTGATTTAAAAGGTTCAGTCAGCTGAAAAATAAAATTGTTCTTACTTTCTATATTAAGACACATTTGATTAATCCTGTTAGGCTAAAAAATGGGCTAGTTATCTAATGCCTATTTGGTTTATACTACTTAAAGAACTTCAACCAAGAAAGTAAAAATTTAAATAAAGCTCCACTGGACATAAAGAAGATTTTTCTTTTTTTTGATGTGCTGGTCCTGGGGCTTGAACTCAGGGCCTAGGAGCTGTCCCTGAGCTTTTTTCTCAAGGTTAGCACTCTACCACTGAAGCCACAGCTCTACTTCTATCTTTTTACTGGTTAATTGGAGATAGAGTCTCCTGCCTAGGCTGTCTTCAAACCTCAATTCTCAGATCTCAAACTCCTGAGTAGCAAGTATTACAGGTATGAGCCAGACCTTATTTTCTAGATGATCTCAAATACCTCCTTTCCTTTCACAGGTTTATAATCCATTTCTTCTTATCAAAGGACAAAGAAACTTAATCCACCTTAATTCCCTGGTAATTCCTTCCTGCTAACATTTAAAATTTGTGGAACACTTCAACTACTATGACAATTAGATGTAAAAAAACACATTATTTTCAATCTATTTATAAAATAGAATTTTGATATTATCAGTCTGAGGTAAAATGATTATAGGTAGAGACATCTATCTTAACAGAATTTAATTTACCTCAACCAACACCTCAAATACATTCGTGTGCCAGACTGCTCGCCATCCAGATGGTTCAAGGACCTTCTCTAAGAATTCAGCTGTGAATTCCCTCACCTCAGAGGCTTTGCAGTCAGCTACAAACAAATTCAACACAGTAAGAATTGAAAATGCACAAAGTAGACAGAAGTTAATAAATACATTTAAATCTACTTTTTCAGAACCAATAACTAGCAACCTAAGGGACAATCTACTAATAAACTTAAAAAAGAAGCAAAAAAGAACTTACCTAAAATGTAATCCTGATAGGCTTGGAATCGCTCATAGAACAAAAGTTGATTTGTTTGAAAAATTTCTGGGAAAAGAGTTTTTCCTTCTGGTACAAAGCTTTGTAAAATGGTACCTGGCTTATCACAATAATTACAGTCATAACATGAATCTTCATCTTGGAATAAACCTAATGAACAACAAAAATAAGCAGACTCAATTATCCCAGCACTTCAGTACTTATAGAGTACTCCTCTTCTATAAAACACAAATAAGGGTAAGTGTTAAGATGCTCTATTTACCTATACTGCTATTAGAAAAAACTATCTTTCAAACATCAAAATGTAATTTCTACTTCAAAGCAGTAAGGGCTTAAGATTTTTCACAAGTTTTTGTTGTTATTCTCTTAGGAAGAAAAGGGTATTTGTTGGTGTTAGGGCTTGAACACAGGACCTGGGCACTGTCTCTGAGCTTTTGGGCTCGAGATTAGCATTCTACCACTTGAGGCACAGCTCTACTTCTAGCTTTTTGGGGGGCACTTAATTGGAGATAAGAATATCATGAACACTCTCTTGTTTTGAACTATGAGCCTCAAACCTCAACCTCCTGAAAAGCTAGATTACAGGTGTAATGATTAGCATTTGCTAAGCATTATTTTTTAATTCAATAGAAACCACTCAAATTCTCTTTCAAAGTTATTGTTTTTATTTGTACTCTAATTACTCTAATTAAAATTATAATGGTCACATATCTTACAGAATTTTCTCCAGAAACCAATTCCATCAAACAGTATTAAAAGAGGGATCAGCTTTTTATACTACACCTCGAAGGGATTTAAGCAGCCTTCAAAGGAAGGCTTTCTATAGTGTGAGTCTGACAATGGCCTCTCAATAAGCAGGTATGAAAGGTTTTTAACACATATTAATTGTACAAAGGGTTTTCACTATATTTCCATAATGCATATAATGTACTTTAATCAGCTTCACCTCCCCATACCTTCTCCCTGCAACTTCCATTGGTTTTCCCCAAGCAGTTTCTTTTACAATGTCATATAGGAGAGAGAAAAAAATGTGATGTCTTTCTGAGTCTGGTCTATTTTGTTGAATATCATGATCTCCAATTTCACTGTTTTCCTGCAAATGACACAATTCTGTTTTTCTTTATGGCTGAATAATAAATACTACATTGTGTATATATACCACATTTTTTTTATCCATTCCTCAGCTGACAGACACCTAGGATTATTCCGTAACACAGCTTTTGTGAATAGCAATAATGTGACTATGCAGGTATCTCAATTGTATACTTAAAATTCTTCAGATATATACCCAGGAGTGACACCATTCAGGGCTCTATTTTTAGTTTTTTAGGGGTTTAGTTTTGGTTTTCTTGTGTCAATACTGGGCTTAAGCTCAGGGCCTCATGTTCTTGCTTAGCTTTTTTATTCAAGGCTGGTTCTCTACCATGTGAGCCATACCTCCACTTCCAGCTTTTTGCTGGTTGACTGGAGATAAGTCTCTCATATTTGTCTCCCTAGTCTGGCTTTGAACCTCCTTCCTCAGATTCTGGCCCTCCTGAGTAGCTAGGGTTACAGGTTTGAGCTACCTGCACCTGGTCTAATTTTAGGTTTTTTGAGGAACTTCCAGACTACTATGTATCAGAAGTAGTTTTGTTGTTGTTGTTGTTTGAGGGTTATAAAGTTTTATTTGGGAGTGGGGTTGGTGCTGGGATTTGAACTCAAGACCTTATGCTTACTGAACCACCTGAGCCACTCTCACAGCCCAGAGATCCTTAATAATACATAAGATTTACTTACTTAAAACTACTAGGTTTCTCAATAATTTCAAGGACTGTGTCTAAGGAAAAGATCAGAAAGTACAAACCACCCTAGGTCTGGTTGATAAGTACTTATGTTTCAAAAGGTATGATTTGGCCAGAATCCTTATCTAATTCAGTGCAATAAGATGTTTTTAATAGACATCTTAATTAACAAACTAAACAAGCAAAGCCAATGGTGGTAGCCTTTAGACTGGCAGAGTAGTTTCCAGACGTGTTTTAAGGGAAAGTGTGTAATACTGTTATTAGTAGCATTCCCACATCTTCCTTTGCTTTCTCCTTCCTTCCATTTCTTTGCCCTTGTTCAGACAATCAGAACTATTTTATCCCACAGATGACCCACATACTCAAGGGACTGCTGCTCACAAATTCTGATCACATATCACCAGCCTGTGACCATCTCTCTATGCCTCAGCTTATCTGTCTATAAAGAATATAAAAATAGCCAGGTGCTGTGGCTCATCCCTGTAATCCTAGCTAATGCAGGAGGCTGAGATCTGAGGTCTGTAGTTCAAAAACCAGCCCACGCAAGAATGCCCGTGAAGGGGGCTGGGAAGGTGGCTCGGTGGTAGAGCACTTGCCTTGCATGCATGAGGCCCTGGGTTCGATTCCTCAGCACCACATAAGCAAAAAGAAAAAAGCCGGAAGTGGCGCTGTGGCTTGAGTGGTAGAGCACTAGCCTTGAGCTGAAGAGCCAGAGTTCAGGCCCCACGACCGGACCAAAAAAAAGAATGCCTGTGAAACTATTATTTCCAATTAACTACCAAAAAAGCCAGAAGTGAGGCTGTGGCTCAAGCAGTAAAGCATTAGCCTTGAACCGAAAAAAGCTCATGGACAGCACAAAGGCCCTGACTTCAAACCCAGAACTGGTAAATAAATAAATATAAAAAGAATATGCCTACTGCAATTAAAAGAATTTAAGAATTTCTTAGTTATTTACAATAGAAATTGTGTGTGTGTGTGTGTGTGTGTGTGTGTGTGTGTGTGTGTGTGTGTGTGTGTGTTGTGCACAGGCACTCCAGTAAGTAACTGGGGCTTGAACTAAGGGCCTTACAATCTCACTTGGCTCAAGACTGACAAGACTGGCATTTTACCATTCAAGGATACCCCCACTTCACACTTTTGGGTGATTAATTGCAGACAAGAATTTCACGAACTTTCCTGCTCCAGCTAGCTTCAAACTGTGATCTTCAGATCCAAGCCTCCTGAGTAGCTAATATTACAGATGTGAGCCAACAGCACTATGTTTTTTTTACTATTTTGCTTTGTTTTGCCAGCTTTACTGAGTTAAAAGGTGTTCAAAATGATGTTTTGATGCATGCATACATTAGGAAATGACCATAGTAAAGCTGACATTTCTATCATCTCACATTAGCTTACTTTTTTTGTATACTTTTGTTTACTTTGAGTATACAATATACAGTAAACCTAACTATAGTCACAGTGCTACTTATTAGGTCTCCAGAACTTATAACTAAAAGTGTACTCTTCGACTAACATCTCCCAATTTCTCCCACCCACTAGCAACACATAGAAGCTCAGTCTCTAGACTCAGCTTTTCTCCATTCCATATGTAAGTAATAGCATATATGTCTTTTTTTTTTTTTTTTTTTGGTCGGTCGTGGGGCCTGAATTCTGGACCTGAGCGCTGTCCCTCAGCTCTTCAGCTCAAGGCTAGCGCCCTACCACTAGAGCCACAGCTCCACTTCCGGCTTTTTTTTTTTTTTTGCCTTTGTGGTGCTGAGGAATCGAACACAGGGCCTCATGCATGCAAGGCAAGCGCTCTACCACTGAGCCACCTTCCCAGCCCCGAATATTTGTCTTTCTTGACAATCACTTCAAAAATATAGCTCTGTTTTCCAAGGGGGAAAACTGAAACTAAACAACTTTTGCCAGCTCCACCACACCTGTGTCACTGGAACTGAACTATTTCCACTACACAGTATAAATGTCAGATGACAAAGTAATGAGAGCAGGGGTGTGGCTCAGTAGTGGCCCGCTTGCCCTAGCACATGCAAGGCTCTGGGTTGCCAAAAATAACTCCACATATACATAAGGGAAGAAGAAATACACACACATATATGCATACATAAGCACAGACAGATGATATAAATAGACAGTACAATTCACACATACACAAATACAGAAACAGACAGACAGATCCAGACATGAATGGAATCTCCAAGGAAAGGCCTGAGAGCTGAAATCTGGTTCCTCCAGTATCCACGCCCTACGGGCTCAAGGGCTACTCAAGGGCCGAGAGAAAGGCTAGTTTTCCCAAAAAGGAAAGTGAGAGTCCAGACGCGTCAGAAATGCATATAAAGTTAAGACAGTGAAGGCGCACGTGCTCCCGGAGTCCTGCAGCTGGGCGCCCCAGGCACAAGTCGCAGGAAGCCCACACAGAGTGGAGCTCTCCGGACCCCGAAGGGAGAGCGGGTCCCAGGCCCACCCGCCACCGTCGCCATCCTCGCCAGTCGAGCGCCTCACCCCGAAGGCCCAGCCGCCACAGAGACCATCCGCCCGACTCGGCGGTGCTCACCTTTTTCCAGGGTTTCCAAGTTCTCCTCAGAGGCGCGGAGAGTGCGTTGGCCCGCCATGGCCTCCAGCTCCAGGCAGCCGCCCACCAGCAACTCAGCAGTCATTTCAAATTTCTGCGGGAGTCCACCCGGGAGGCGTTACGATGACGAAGTCCCCTCCCATTGGCTATTCGAAGAGACGCAGTTTCCAGAGTCCCGCCTTTCCAGTCTCTGAGAACAGCACGTTGGCGCCACCTACTGCCTGGAGGACCGCGGTTCTCTTTCTATTTCATTTGCTGAGATCAAACTGGGAAAAGGTGTTGCAACTTAATTTGGGATGACTTACAAAAAACAAACAAACAAGGGGCTGGGAAGGTGGCTCAGTGGTAGAGCGCTTGCCTTGCATGCTCGAGGCCCTGGGTTCGATTCCTCAACGACTGGACCCAAAAAAAACCCCAAAAACAAAAAACTGGAGAGCAGATAGATGCTCAAGTGGTAGAGCATTAGCCTTGAAGATTTGAGCAAAAAAAAAAAAAAACCACTCAGGAACAGAGGCAAACCCTGAGTTCAAGTCCCAGGACCATCACACACACACAAAAAGTTATCACTGAAGTTTCTGTTTGTGCCAGTTGTGGGAGACACAATTACTAGAGCTGGTTTTGAACCATGAGCCTCAGATCACAGCCTCCTGAGTAGCTAGGATTACAGGCATGAGCTGCTGGCACCCAGAAATGTGTTAATTTTAAAATGTAAGGGGAAAAAAAGCTTTCAACAGTATAACATTAGATTTCAAATAAAAATCTGAAATTCTTAATTAACTAAAAAAATTTATTTCAACTAACAAATCATATTTTTCTGTGAAAACTTAAACTAGCAGAAACTTTTTTGTTTACATATCAAATACTATTCAAGGGCTGGGAAGGTGGCTCAGTGGTAGAGCGCTTGCCTTGAATGCCTGAGGCCCTGGGTTCCATTCCTCAGCACCACATAAGCAAAAAGAAAAAAGCCGGAAGTGGAGCTGTGGCTCAAGTGGTAGAGCGCTAGCCTTGAGCTGAAGCTGAGGGACAGCGCCCAGGCCCAGACTTCAAGCCCCATAACTGGACCCAATAAATAAATAAATAAATAAATTGCAGTCCTTCTCTGAACCTTCACTACTCAAAGTCTAGTTCAGGGGCCACACAGTTTTTAAAGAATGCAATATCAATGGAGCACTCATAGCTCACACTTGTAATCCTAGCTACTCAGGAGGCTGAGATCAGTTAGAATCCAGCTGAGGCAGGAAAGTCTAGAAGACTCTTAACTCCCATTAACCACCAAAAAGCCCAAAGTGGAAGTATGGCAGCCTGGAGTAAAATAACTCAATGATAGCTCACGGGCCTTGAGTCCAAGCCCAGGACAAGCACACATACATACATACATTCACACATACACACACAATCTCATTAGGCACTAGTGGCTCACTCCTGTAAAACCTAGCTACTCAGGATGAGATCTAAGGACTACAATTAAAAGACAGCCTACAAATTCTTTTCTTCTTTGTGTTCAGAGTGAAGTGCAGGTACAATAGTTCTCTCTCTCAATTACTGATGGCAGACCTGCAGAGTCCCTTTGGTGTCAATTTGGTCCAGGGACTGTACCCAGGCCCTGAATTCAAGCCCCAGTACCAAAACAACAACAAAAAACAAACTGAGCACCGGTGGCTCATGCCAATAATCTTAGCTACTCAGGATATTGATATCTAAGGACTGAAGTTCAAGGCAAAACAGGGAAAGTACATGAGATTCTTATTTCCAATTAACTATCAAAAAATACAAAACCACACACACACATACACACACACAAAAAAAATAACAGAAGTGAAGCTTTAACTCAAGTGGTAGAATGCTAGCTGTGAGCAAAAACGCTCAGGCCCTGTGTTCAAGCCCCAGGACTGATAAAAAAAAAAAAAAAAAAAAAAAAAGTAGGCAGTCTCTCCAGAAACCAGTGGCTCATGCCTGTAACCTTAGCTATTCAGAAGCCTGAGATCTAGAGAAGGCTAGCTCAGACAGAAAAGACTGCTGGAATCTGTCTCCAAATAATCAGCCAGTGGTATGGTGGAAGGCATGACACAAGTATTAGAACAGCAGCCTATTGTGAGGTGTTGAGTTCAAACTCTAGTACTTAAATAAAGTCCTAGGCCAGGCGCCGGTGGCTCACACCTGTAATCCTACCTACTAAGGAGGCTGAGATCTGAGGACCACAGTTCAAAGCCAGCCTGGACAGGAAAGTCCATGAGACTCGTATCTCCAATAAACCACCAGAAAACTGGAAGTGGCGCTGTGGCTCAAGTGGTAGAGCACTAGCCTTGAGCTGAAGACCTGAGAGACAGAGTTCAAACCCCATGACTGACCAAAAAAAAAAGTTCTGCCCTCCCACCCTAGACCTGCTGAATGACACTTGGGAGATCCCCAGTTCTCAGATGACAGCATTCACTTCTGCAGAAGCTTTCAGAACTAACCTTCTCCTGAACCTGTTTCTATTCGCACATGACTGCAGAAAAGTTTCCTGGATTTCTTGCCTGTGATTCCCATCTACTATATTGCAGAGCAAATCTGCATGCCTCTGGCCTTATCCCACTTCCTAGCACAGCCACAATAGGCCACCACTATTCCCACTCAGGCTGTTGAGACATTTGAGCAGTATCCTTTCCCAGAAGCCTGTGCCACCCTTCTACTCCCTCAAGAGTGAATGGCTCCCAGATGTTGTTCTTAATGCAGGGGTCTCAAATACCCACACCCAAAGAAGTCAGGCAGATGAGAAACTAGAGAAGTAGTCACTGGTATAAATCTGGCAGAGATTGTAGGTGTGGACCCAAATGTTTCCAAAAGACTGGGTGGAAAAATGAGCAGAAAAGAAGCCTGATTGGGGCATCTTTTTTCCAAGCCAACTTTCCAGCTTCCTTAGTGGAAGAAACATGCTGAAGGGAATGTGACTGTTGCACTGTGTCAGAGGCAGTGAGTTCTTGAAGACAAATACCAAGTCATATTTCTCTTTTTATTTTAAATAAAGAAAACAGAAATAGCTAAAGCTGCTACCAAAACAGGAACAAACCAAACCCAAAACTACTAGAGGGGCAGAAATCAATGAATTATAAACTTAAAAAACTACACATAGAATCGGTAAAAGAAAAAACTTGTTTGAAAAAAATTAATAAAATTGACAGACTACCCCCCCACCCCCACCGGCTAAGTTGAGTTTTTGAAAAAGGAGAGAAGAGATTCAAATCAATAATATCAGAGATGACAAGGGTTATCTCACCACAAACATCCAAGAAATCCAAAAGATTATAAGGGACAACTTTTAAACCTATACTAAGATAAGATGGAAAGTCTAGCAGAAATTAATATATTTCTGAACCAAGAAGATATAAGCCAGTTAAAACAGACCCATAAAATACTATGAGATTGAAGTAAGTAATAAGGAGTCTTCCAACAAGAAAAAGTCCAGGTCCCAAAGGAGTCACAGTTCAATTTGTTTAAAGATGAACTAACCAGTATTCTTCAAACTTTTCCATGAAATACAACAGAAGGATCAGTACCAAACATCTTTTTTTTTTTTTTTTTTGTCGGTAGTGGGGCTTGAACTCTGGGCCTGGGCGCTGTCCCTCAGCTCTTCAGCTCAAGGTGAACGCTCTACCACTTGAGCTACAGCGCCACTTCCGGTTTTCTGGTGGTTTATTGGAGATAGGAGTCTCACGGTCTCTCCTGCCTGGGCTGGCTTTGAACCGCGATCCTCAGATCTCAGCCTCCTGAGTAGCTAGGATTATAGGCGTGAGCCACCAGCGCCCGGCAGTACCAAACATCTTTTATGAAGCCAGCATTACACTCACCCCAAACCAAGTAGGGACTCAACAAAAAAGAGAACTATACACCAATCTCTCTGATAAGCATAGATGCAAAGCTCCTTAGTAAAATATTTGCCAACAGAATTCAACAGCCAATCAAAAAATATACACTATGATTATATAGATTTTATCCCAGAGATGCAAGGCTGGTTTAATATACATAAATAATACTATACTAACAAAGCCAAAGACAAGAACCACATGATCCTCTCAATAGATTCAGAGAAAGCCTAACAAAAAGCAACAACTGTTCATGTTAAAAAGCACTGGAGAAGTTAGGAATAGAAGGAACATACCTCAACATAATAAAGGCTATATATGACAGACCAACAGCCAATACCATACTAAATGGTGAAAAAATAAAACCATGTTCTCTAAAATAAGAAACAAGGCAAGAATGTCCATTTTCTCTCCAGGGCAATAAGGCAAGAGAAAGACAAAAAAGGATTCACAAAGGGAAAGACAAAGTCAAAACTATATTTACAGACATGATCTTTGTGTGTGTGTGTGTGTCAGTCAAGGGGCTTGAACTCTTGAGTTCTTCAGCTCAAGGCCAGCACTCTACCACCTGGGCCACAGTGTCACTTCCGGTTTTCTGAGTGGTTTATTGTAGATAAGAGTCTCACGGAGTTTCTTGCCCGGACTGGCTTTGAACTGCAATCCTCAGCTCCCAGCCTCCTGAGTAGCTAGGATTACAGGTGTGAGCCACCGGCGCCCAGCATTTTTTTTTTTTTTTTTTGGGGGGTCTGGTCATGGGGCCTGAACTCTGGGCCTGGACGCTGTCCCTCAGCTCTTCAGCTCAAGGCTAGCACTCTACCACTTGAGCCACAGCCCCTTATGTGGTGCTGAGGAATGGAACCCAGGGCTTCAGCATGCAAGGCAAGCGCTCTACCACTGAGCCACCTTCCCAGCCCCCCCTCCTTTTTTTAAAGACCTTTATTAACAGGTGCTTGCAGTTTGTTGACTTAAAAAAAAAAACTTTTATTACAAATTAAAAATAAAGTTCTTAAAAATCTCAACTTGACCAGATATGAAACAATTTAAAAACCTTTAAAAGTGTATTGAGGAAAACCATGCAGGGCTGAGAAGGTAGCTCAGCGGTAGAGTGCATGCCTTGCAAGCATGAGGCCCTGGGTTCGATTCCTCAGCACCACATAAACAGAAAAAGCTGGAAGTGGCACTGTGGCTCCAGTGGTAGAGCGTTAGCCTTGAGCTGAAGAGCTGAGGGGCAGCGCCCAGACCC